TGAAAAGACCCTGATGCTGGGAAAGATTGAAGGCGGGAGGAGAAGGGGACGACAGAGGATGAGTTGGTTGGATGGCATTACTGACTCAATGGACATGAGTTTGGGTAAAGTCTGGGAGTTAGTGATGGACAGGGAAGCCTGGCGTGCTGCAGTCCATGGGGTTGCAAAGAGTTGGACATGACTGAGCGGCTGAACTCAACCAAACTTTATATCAGAAAAAAATTAAACATTGCTTTTAAAAACTATCAGTTTTCAGCACTAGATGTCCTGTTCTTCCTAGTTGGTTGTTAGTTAATTATGAGATGACCTGAGACTAATCTTAGTACTTCCCAGAGGCATGTGCATTTTTGTAGATCCAAGTGCCTTAAAGAGCCAACGGATCGTCTCGTCTAGGGGCAGGGTGGGGAGGGGCTAGGGAAGGGACTGTCCTGCACCCCTTCAGATGTCTGCAGTGCCAAGAAATTAAACATCAGTGGTAGAAATACTGGAAAAAGACGGTGGTGGTTTCAATTAATGGCCCAGTATTTCCCAGTGATTCACCTTGCTCCAAAGGATGTCTTCCTCTCTTTAATTTTCATATGGAAAATTTTGAATTTTTTTATACCATACCAATATAATAGCATATGATAGGTATCATATGTTAATATATTCATGTTACTCTGCATTTCATTTTCATTTTAAAACTACGCCACTCCATGTTATTTTTGTCTAGGACAGATTACCAGGGACTGCTGATGAATTTGGTCTTCTTACACTATGAAACAGTTAACTCTTTTGTTTTCATTTTTTTAGGTTGCTGAAGCACACGTGCCTAATTTCATTTTTGATGAGTTCAGAACAGTCCTGTAACTTTTTTTGACTTCTGCTTCTTCAATGAAAGGATTATCTTTGAATCTTCCCACCGTCACTAAGATGTACTTGGAAATGAAAAGAAACCCACCTCGAGAACTGCTTTCCCTTTCTTGTGGGAAATGTCAGACATTCTGAGTAAGATGTATCCACTGAACGAGTTAATATAATTAATATTGTTTAAATCATGGTATTATATACAATTTATATCATGTAGAAGCAGAACACATTTTTGTACTGCCTCTTATAAATGCTGACTATAATTGTTATGTATGAATCCCCTTAGTTTTATGTTCTAAAGAACTATTTGTGCAACTCCAGATTTTCAGTAAAATAGTATTGCCAGTACCTGAAGTCATTCTTCTGCCTGTTATTCAAAAACAACATATTCACCCAGCAAAAAACCTTGCCTGGAAGGTAAGAAAGGAGCCTGGTAGGTCCGATGTTGGGTCCCTGGTCACGCCCATGACAGGCTGGCAGGCACGTGGTGACAGCGAGACTGGTCCCAGGTGTAGAGATCACACAGTCCGCGGGCGCGTACCGTGGCCGTTTACTCCCGTCTGAGGCTGTGTCCTCTTCCAACCCAGACGCCTCAGGGCTTCCCTGCCTCCCTTCTGTAGGGCTCCCCAGCTTCAGCTGCTGCTTGCTCAACAGCTCCTGAGGAGCCCACCCAAGTCCCCACAACGCCCCCCCTTAATTTTATAACAGCCATTGTTACCTTTTAACTCCCCCGAAATCCTAAATGACTTCTGCGTGAATCCAGGTGTAGAGATCACACAGTCCGCGGGCGCGTACCGTGGCCGTTTACTCCCGTCTGAGGCTGTGTCCTCTTCCAACCCAGACGCCTCAGGGCTCCCCTGCCTCCCTTCTGTAGGGCTCCCCAGCTTCAGCTGCTGCTTGCTCAACAGCCCCTGAGGAGCCCACCCAAGTCCCCACAACGCCCCCCCTTAATTTTATAACAGCCATTGTTACCTTTTAACTCCCCCGAAATCCTAAATGACTTCTGCGTGAAAATTACCCTGAGAGGGGAGCGGCCACCCTCCTGTGGCAGTTTGGCTAAGAGTTAAGGAAGGCGTTTTAACTCTGACCACATAGTTAGCTCTGTCCTCTGGAGAGGAACAAGCGAAACAAAAAAATCTGAAATGTGGAGCTTATCGGTCATCTAGCAAGTGCAGGAAAAGCAGCATTAACTTGCAGTCAGGAGGCAGAGTTTGAGTCCCAACTCCACCACTAGTTAAACTTTGTCCCAAGGCAGCCTACTGGCATCATCTGTAAAATCAGGGCTAATGATTTCCTCTGGTTCCCTTCAGTTTTCTCAATTTATGGTAAGTTATTTCTTCAATCAGAAAGTCTCAAATCCTAAGATACTGAAGAGAAAAAAATGACAGGCTTTGTTTCGCCATCATAGTAGAAAGGATTTTTAAAAAGCATCTAGTCAGCAGAGGGAAGCAGGAGCTTCATCAGCCCAACCTGGTGAGCACCCAGGGAGGAATTTTAAAGGTGAACTGTTGCCCAGCATGTAAGGAGTCTGGGAGTCTCACCCACGGAGGCTGGCACATGGGAGCTCAGCCAGTAAAGCCACGGCCATCCTGTGTCTCAAAACTACCTTATATTTGTGTATTCAGTCGTGTCCAACTCTGCAACCCCATGGACTGTAGCCCACCAGGCTCCTCTGTCCATGAAATTTTCCAAGCAAAAATACTGGAGTGTGGGTTGCCACTTTCTATTCTGGGGATCTTCCCGACCCAAGGATTAAACCACATCTCTTGTCTCTAGTGTTGGCAGGAGGGTTCTTTACCCCCGAGCCACCTGGGAAGCCCCTTGCTTTTTTCATTTGTAATCACAGTAACTACATGAAGTGAGATTTTTCGTTCTCCATGAAAAATTCCCCCCCAAAGAAAGAATTTCTTTATTAGCAAAGAAAGACAGCTGGTAATAAAAAGGCCAGTTCTAAGAAAGGGTATTTTTAACCAGAAAATAGAAGTGTAGGATTAATTAGAGGGAAATTTCACAAAACCAAGCAGTGAGCCCACATACACTGCTAAAACAAGGCAAAGTGAAAATTCTCAACTGAGAAAATTTCAACTTCTAAAAGGTGAAAAAGAAATGTTAATTATAAAAGCTTTAAAAGTCATTTTAGCCCTGATCTGCAGTAGTTACTTAATATTTCTGGTTATCTTTTACTGCTCTTTTAAGGGAAACAATTTACTTTAATGGTATTTGGGGGTTTACTCAAGTCTCATGATACTCTTCTGAATATCCATAACCTCTTCAGATGTAATGTAAACTCAGTAAAGCAAGCTCCGGGAGATGGCGAAGGATAGAGAAGCCTGGCGTGCAGCCGCCCATGGGGTCACGAAGCGCCCGACACGAGGGAGTCGCTGAACAGCAGCAGTGAGGCCGACCGACTTTGAGGCAGTACGCCAGATGCTGCAAGTGCCCATCTGTTCCTCACTCTTTCTTCAGACGAACAGGAAGCATCTTTTCATTGTTCACTAGTTTTGACATCATCTGTTCCCCTGTGGCTTTAATTTGGGGCCATGTATTGGAAAATTGATAGAAACACAAGGGATTCAAAAGTATTGTTACTTGTATGAGAACTTCTTTACAACTGTTTAAACTCTCTCCTTAGAAAATATTAGTTATGGGTAGAAAACGTACATCTATGCCAGGTTCAGTTGTGGGGTGCTTGGTTTTTTAGCCATACATTATATAATTTAGAATTAGTCACTTTTGAGTTGTAATAAAATGAAAGCCTGTTAACCTTTAAATTTTTTTGGCATCTTGAAATTGAAAACAGACTAATGTCTACCTGGGCCTCAAGGAAAAGTCAGGAGAAACTAAATCCTGAAGTCATTAGAGCTTGGCATTTTGCATATATATGTTTAAAGGATATGTGCCCATGATGCACAAAAAAACATCATGCTGGTACTTGTTTTTTCTTTACAATCCAGTTTACAGTCCAGTGTACATCCAGAATATAGTCGAATATACATCAGTCTACATCCAGTGTATAGTGTACAGTCCAGTACACATCTGGAGCACGTCTGGAACACAGCTGGACACATCTGGTGTATAGTCCACATGCACAGCTGGTCACAGCTGGAGCTCATCTGGAAACATCTGGGACACAGTTGGACACGTCTGGACATATCTAGTGTACAGTCCAATGCATACCTGGTGTGCAGTCCAAGGGTACATCCCAGTATTCAGTGCGGTCTACCATCCAGTGCACATCCTGTGTGCCATCCATCCCTTGTACAGTTGAGGGTACTGTCAGCTGTACGTCGTGTACAATCCTGTGTACAGTGTACCCTTTATGTCATATACAATCCAGTGTACACTAACGTGTTTCCTATGTATGGTCCAGTATACATGTGTACATCCAGTGTACAGTTAATGTATGGTCTAGTGTACACCTGTGTATGTTCAGTGTAGTCTAGTATACACTCCAGTGTACAGTCCAATATACAGTCATATACATTCAGTATACAGCCCAGTATACACTCATGTACATCCAGTGTACAGCCCAGTGTATGGTCTAGTATACACTCCAGTGTAGTCTAGTATATACACCAGGGTACAGTCCAGTACACACTCGTATACAGCCAGTGTACAGCCCAATACAAGCCAGTGTACGTCGTGTTGAGTCCACTATACACTCATGTATGTCCAGTGTACAGGCTAGTAGACACTCCAGTGTACAGCCCTGTTCACTATTCCTTGAAATAAGCCTAGCCTGGCTTATTAATGTTACCCAGTAGAATTTATATAAAGCCCTTGATTCCCTTTTATATGCATGTGACACTTTCCAGGACCTCAGAAAAGAACCTTATCCAATTGAATAAGTGAGGGGAGATAGAGGGATACATGAGGAAAATAAGGTCCAGATGTATTAAGGCAACTTCCCCAACGTCAAGAGCTATTTAACAGAAAAGGCTTCCCTCTGCATTTTTCCATCCCACTTTGGTTTTCTTTTTCATAAAGTTATATAAAGAAGACCACAGCAACAGACAAAAAGAAGAGGACTTCCCTGGTGGTTCAGTGGTTAAGACTCTGCGTTTCCAATGGAGGGGGCTCGGGTTGGATCCCTGGTTGGGGAATTAAAATACCACATGCCTCAGGGTGTGGCCAAAAAAACCAAAAAGACATGAGAGTTCATTCTTCATTTTATTTGCATGTCCCACAGTGACTCATCCCAAATACTGAATTCAAAAGACAAACTGCAGCTCCTCAATGTTAGCACTAATTTATGGTAACAATCATTTCTTTTAAATATCTATCTTATTTTACCCTTCATTTGAAATTGCAAACTAAAGTATATATTTACATGTATGTTTATATACAAAATAACTTCAAAAACAAATTAATCCCAATCTTGGTCCAAGAATTCCCACTTCAGAAGCGGGAGGAGTACTGTGCTATATACACTCTCTTCCAAGTCACTGCAGACTTGGCGAGTTCCCAGTATTCATTCACAAATGGTTCCCCTTTAAGCTTAATGAACCAAGTACTTCATTTCTGAGTAAATCAGAGGAAATATTACAGAACACGCTCTGTACAATACAGCACCGCTACTGAAAATGGCTCGGGGTTTTGTAATCCAAGGTTCCGATTTAAAGCAAAAATAGGTGGCATAGACTGCAACGCCAAAGAAGTGTCCGATTAAAACCAGAGGATTGGGAGATAATCTGTAATGGGAAAAAATACATATAATTAAGACCCCAAAATGAAAACTGACTCATAAAGAGATTCCAATTGTGTATCATCTATAAAGGTAAATATACACTCAGCATTTTAGGGGACTTTACAAGCTTGTATCTGCTGGTCAAGGGACAAATTAAAACATTTTTTCTTACAAGAAACTGCTTAGACTTTACTCCTGTCAGAGAAGCCAGTAACTTATCTTAGTTTATATGAATTGTACCTCCTGAACTGTTTTCTTTCATTAATCTTGAGATCTCAGCCTAAAGTAGCCTGGCCTATGGAATCTCAGTTTTTCCAATGGTAACAGTGTTGACACTCAGAAAGTGGACAAAGGAGAAAAGCCTTAAGGAATTTCACTTTGCAGACTTTCCAAGAATAATTCTACATATGTCTGCACCATCAGAACTGAGTTTCATGAGTCCCACACTTCAGTAGAATTCAATGTTAAATATAAACTCTATTATTCATGGTCCCCATAGATCAGGTCAGGGCCATAAACCCACAGGCAAAAAAACAAGCTGCTCTTTTAATCAAGGGTTTTAGCCTCATCTACTCACCAACTCAGGATCAACACTGTTGCCCAGAACTAAAACGCAGGATTGAATACTGCCTTTTTTCATTTCTCTGGGAACATTTTGATTGGGATACTAATCAATAATAAAATGATGACATGCAGCAGGTAGAGGGATTAGCAGTGATTCATAAACCAAACTTCCCAGGTGGCACTAGTGGTAGAGAACCTGCCTGCCAATGCAGGAGACATAAGATATGCAGGTTCAATCCCTGCGTCGGGAAGATCCCCTGGAGAAGGAAATGGCAACCCACTTTAGTATTCTTGCCTGGAGACTCCCCACGGACAGAGGTGCCTGGTGGGCTACAGCCCCTGGGGTTGCAAGGAGTAGGACACAGCTGAGTGACTAAGCAAGTGCAGCATAAACCACAGTCCTAAGAAAATCTGGAGTATCTGTTTCCTCTGTGTTGTCAGAACAACTTACACGGAAAGCAGCCCAACCGGACCTGCAACACATTTTCCACCAAGTTTGAAATAAAAAAAACAGGCTTTTCTCAGTTGATGTAGGTAATCTAAAATAAAAGTTTAAAATTATTCTCAATCAAAATACTCATACATTTATGTGGGGTGCTAATGATATGTCAGAAAAAAATGAATATGTAACATTTATTACACCTTTATAGATTAATTTCTTAAAAATCTAGTGTTAGCATTTTAGCCACCCAAGATTTCTTTTCAATTTCATAATGAAGACTAAATAGTAATTCACAAATGAATAAACTTTTTTCTGCTAGTAAATAATTACTAAACATGTAGGCCTTGGAAATTACGAGTTATTTAAAAGCTATCTCCTTGATTGTGTTGTAAATTCATTAAGTGATGTCAAATATTTTGTACATTCTCTTCTTACAAAAACACAATTCTGGAAACCAGAATGATGGTCTCTAAGATGCCCAGTGCGTATATCTGAGTAGTAAATTATGAAGTGAATAATAATGCCTTATATCTGTACAGTTTTATTATATTTTTCAAAATAATTCATTAAACCCTCACAACATAGTATAATCAATAACCTTTTTTAATAGTATAGAATTAATGTTCTTCAAGTATACCTCAATTATTCTTTACAACAGGTAAAAAAGATTACAACAGGTAAACTTTTACTCCAATAAAGCCCATTCCTCCTTCAGTATCTCATAGCTCTGTTGTTTTATGGGTGGATTCAAACTCTGAGAAACTCAAGAGCTGAGAAAAGCTCAGAAAGAAGAGCTTAGAAAAACTCCAAATTTAGTTCTCTTCTTGTCCAACCAGTCACTGTAACTTCCACGATCAACCAGCAAGAGAGATTTGCCTGGCAAATCACAACACGCTGTCTTTTCCTTTAGCAAGAATGACGGTTAGAGGGGCTGCACGAAGTATTTGTACTGTGTCATCCTTGGTATTCAGATCACCAAAGCAAGGATCACTAGCGCCCCAGCCAGGTCACAGAAATAGCTTTCTTGTATTATAAATACCTGAGGTAATGGGATTAGAGTTATGTTATTTAAAAAAAAAAAAAACTTTTTATTTTGTATTGGGAGTTACATTTATTCTTGGAAACCTAAAGGTCTCGTTTCACTAACCCACCGCTCACTAACGTGTACATGGCCACGGCTGGGAAGTGGCACAGGTGACGTTTTCCTCCATCTCTAGCCCTGTTTCTGCTAAGTCATGTTTTCCTTCATGTGAGACTGACCATCACCATACAGAAACAAAAACAGAAGCCTTATAGTAGTAAAGTGGGAATATTTCACGTGAGTAAAAGGTGGATACCTTCTGCTTGTGCATTTTAATAGGAGACAAAAACCTAGGTTTGATACGAAGCTCATTTTCATTTTACAAAATACTGTTTCGAAAAGAAATTGAACTACTGTCTGGGAAGAAAAAGGATTAACACTACCTTGCCCTTTAATTCACAGTCAGAAAGGTCTTCCATCACAATCTTATGCATTTGGGGAATGTGTGATGTGATGTGGACCAGAGGAATGAATAATGACACATGACTGAGGTATTGTTACTAAGGTTGTCTAAAGAGGCAATGGCCTCCCACACACAGTGGTGGATACATGATGATTAGTCAAAATTGTGCTCAAGGATGGAGTTAAAAAGGACTTAACAACTTGGAAGTTGGCAAACTCAGGAAACATTTCTATTTCTGGCCTAATCACTAACTTTTTGTAATTCAGTTCCCTTCCTCTGCTAAAAATCTATAATTCAGTAACAGTCATTCAAAAATAGCTGCACTTACCATCTGTGGCAGAAAATAATTCATAAAGAGCCTGAGCAAGAACATTCACAACAAAGGAATGAGACTTTTTTCTTGTCCAATAAAATGATTGTTTGGCCTAAAAAAGAGAAAGATCACCTATTATATGGTAAGGGTTTAAAAAAAAAAAAAAAAGCACAAACTAATGTTTATAATCCCTTAAACTGATACCCTGAGGACTATCTACTAGAAATTATGTCTTGTTCAACATTTACACTCCCATCAAAAAAGTAAAAATCTCCAGAGGAACGAGTTACATCACTGAGGGTAAGTGACCCATGTAATCTCCAAACCAGAAATTCTAGAAGATTCACAGGTTGCAACTCATGTTCTCAATCCTGAACAAGACTGTTTAAGAATCACTACTAAGGACCATGCTCCCAGGTACAGATCTCCTCTGCAAAGTCCCATTCATCTTAGACCCCAGAAAGAAATCTATTTTGAGACATTTTTGTCAAAGAATATCTTACCTGGAAAACAGCTGCATCATCATAAAGGTCAGGGATACCCTTCAGCAATTTTCTCCACAGTTTTATATCATTAAAAACAACAGTCATTCCTCCACCAGTAAGAGGATGCCTCATATTGTATGCATCTCCCAAAAGAAGAACACCTGTAAAAAGAGAACTTAGATCATGACATCATCCTGGAGCATCCTTTAAGATCCAAAGAAAACAAAAAACAACACCCCCCCCTCCAAAAAAAAAACCTATTAATAATTTATAAACTATGAATGTCAGCTAGTAAATTAGAATGTGAAAATACTAAATACTAAACCGATTAAAATATTAATACTAAACCACAACTAAAATTAACTTAGGCAAAAATTCAAGAGTTGATTCAATTACTATTTGTTAGGTAACTAATATGTGCCAGATGCTAGGGATACAGTGAGAACAGGAACGTGATCCCTGCCCTCAAAAAACTCACATGTGAATCTAAGGTTCAGTCAGACAATGTCAAAATATGTGTAAGGCCTCTTTCATGAAAAAAAACAAAAAAAGCAATGTACAGGCATCCATGTGTAAAAAGCAAGTCTTTTACAAGGGAAAAAAATCAAGAATTTGTTGACATTTCACAGTAATACTTACTGCCTACATATTATAGAGATCTATATGGTTCTAAGGGGAAATACAGATATTCCAAACACATAAGAAGTTTAGAAGAATAAACCTTGATTGAAGCTTAGCTGAAAACCAGCCCCTGGCATCAAAACCACAGAGCAGTAAGCTCTGCAATCTGACTCGAGGGACAGCTCCTCCTGATTACAGTCCTGACTCTTAAGATTCCCACCCACTGCCAGCCTGGCTCATGACCCATGACTCAGAGGGACAGTTAAACAAAGCATATATTTAATTTTCTCTCTGAGAGAAATAAAACAATCATAGTAAAAGTGGTAAGGTGGCAGAATTACGGATAATTTTTTCCTGTAATGTCACAATATACTATCTAATTATAGAATACACATATATTAATTTATGAAAAAGTAGTTTCTAAATTTTCACCCAAGTTTTTTTATGCATTAGTCTAATACCTTCACTAGAAACCACTAGCTATAACCAGCTTTTATTCCTCCTCCTCCACGGAACATTCCCAATTCCACCAACTGGGATATGTTCCCAAAGCATGCTCTTTGTATCAGTTTGGCACTGGCTTTCATTCTGCTTTGCATTATAGTTTATTTCTATGACTGGCAATTTATGATACATGTTTCTCCATAGCAAACAACAGCTGTTTATGTTCAGGAACCACAGTATATCGACAGCTCTCGCTCACACCTCTCCTCCAGGCTCCACACTCCTGTTTTCAGTGGGCCTCCACTTGGCCACTCAAATAACCTCCCAGCCGTCACATCACTCTGTCCAAAAATGAACTCATTATCTCCCCACACTTCCCTAAGTCCAATGTCAGCAAACAGCTGGCAAAATACCTAAGCCTGAAACCTGGAATCCATCAAGAAACCTCGCTCTCCCTTATTACCATTAATCACTGAGTTTCATGCATGCTACACCCTAGATCTTACCGAAATCGTTTCTCTACCTTCCACTTTTATTGTTACTTTACACCTTCCTGGGTGGCTATGGCAAAAGGACAGATACGAATAAATGTTGTCGAGGATGTGGAGAAATTGGAACCCTCATATATTGTTAATGGAAATGGAGGATGGTCAACCACTTTGGAAAACAGTTTGGCAGTTGCTCAAAGCATTAGATAGAGCTAGGACCCGGCAATTCTATTCCTAGGAATATAACCAAGAAAAATGAAAATAAATGTCCACATAATAACTCATACACAGGTATGAACCAAAAGTGGAAACAATCCAAATGTCTATCAGTTGATGAATAGACAGTCAAGATGTAACATATCCACACAAGGAGTAGTATTTGGCCATTAAACCAAATGAAAGACTGACGCATGTTACAGCACGGATGAACCTCCAAGAAGCCAGTTACAAAGGATGACACTGTATGATCACATTTATAGGGCATGTCCAGAACAGGCAAATCTACAGAGACAGAAAGTAAATTAATGGTGGTTTGGGGCAATGTCAGCAGCGGCTACTAATGGTTACATGGTTTCATTCCAGCATGATTAAAAACGTTCTAAACTTGACTGTGGTGATGGCTCCACGGACCTATGAATACACTAAAAACCAACAAACTGTACACTTTAAATGAGTGAACTATGTGATCTGTGAATTATCTCTCAATAAAGATACTGTAAACATAAAAAGAACTTTTCAATGACTTTGCGCTGTCTATAGGATTAAAACTGCATATCTTAACTTTCTACCACACTGCCACCTCTCCTATGCTCCAGGGGTCTAGGGAGCTACTTAAGTGCCACCATTTCTCAGCCAAGCTGGCTTTTGCAGGTATTGTTCTGCCTACTCAGAAGTCCCTCATCTCACTGTCCAGCTGTGTCTCCAGAGCAACGTCTTCCCTAATTACCCTTCCCAATCCACAGGCTTGCTCCCTGCCTTGTGCGTCCCACTCCTTCACAGTGAATCTGGGGTACCAAGAGTGGGCTTTCATAACAGCATTTATCAGCAGTGTTCTGAAATTATTTACATCTTTCACTGGAAAACTGCCTTCTCGAGATTAAGGACTATACTTAATTTTATTTTCATTAACTCGAACAGTGACCATATACTCAATACTAAGTGATAAATATCATAAAACTAATTTTGGTGTGCACTAATTACAATAATCTATTTTCTGTACCACATACATGTCATTTGGAATACTGAATTAGAATATTTGGAATATCTTTTATAAAGTTGGTCCAATAAGATAATACCTCGTTTGTTTACTGGTGAAGAAGGGAGGAAGCTTGCTGGCATCGATCTCAAACGTGAATTCTGAGAGGCTTCTAGGAATGGTCCTTTCAGGTGATCTGCAATAAAGCCCGCCCCACCAAACAAATGGTTTATAACATTCCAATTTCAAATTATCACATATTCTTATCAAGTATACACAAATACATACTACACATCTGTGATGGTTGTTAAAAATATCCTTTGTGGTAAATCAAGAACTAATTAATAACAAACTGTTTGTTAAGCACACAGTTGTTCCTGCTAAGGGATGGCTAAGGAATCTAAGCAAAAATCAATATAAATAGATACAGAGTTGTATGAACAAAAACCTAGAGAGTGAAGCAAATCCAGATGAGATGATAAGACAAGGAGAAAAACCACCCACCTTTCTTCCAAATGATTACCAACAGGTATATATTTAACACCTATTTTATTCTCATATTCTATAAGAACAGATGAAATATACCACCAATTCACAAACAACAGGAGGGTATGTGTACAGTTAAACAAAAAAAAAAGGGTAAGATGTAGAGAGAACTATCTCTCTGAGGAGCTTTTAGTTTCTTCATCTAGAATGAAACAGATTAGTTCATCTCTGTGATACATCCCAGGAAAGTACCAAAGTTTCATGCTTCCACTTTATAGAAAATGAATTTGCTTTTCATACAATTTCCATTGTAATCTGGGAAGACAAGAGCTGAATGACTGTGTTGAAACTATTCCCTTCCTCCAATGAATAGAATTTCCATAACCTAACTAATATGAACCTACAAGTGTTTCTCTCCCTGATCACAAGGCAGTCTTCTCCAGCTATGCTTTGGACTGGGGGAAAAAAACAATCTACAGTAAAAGAAAAAAATGCTAAAAATACATTATTAATTATCCTCTTCCTAAATACACATAACTCATTCTTTCCATCTGAAAGCTTCAAAATGGCTTAACTGAGTGAAAATGTATTGAAGTGCTGAAAATGTCATTATTAAAAATCTAAATTGGTCCATGTGTACCTTAATTTCTACTGATATTCTGTTAGTAAACAGTGCTTTTGCTTAGTTTAAAAAATAATATTCCTTAGTTTAAAAACTAACTTGAAAAACCAGAATATTTAAACAACTGTACTCACATCCAGGATAATCTGCTATTGCTATAATCATAATCGGCGAGCAGAGTTTTCCTTTCAATTTTATCAATATTCTTAATAATTTTTTTTACATGTCTTTCTTACATCTTCCCATTCTCAAAAAATAATTTTAATGAGTGTTTAACAAAGATGTCTGAAATCTCATGAAGCCTTTCTGTACTCAACTCAAAACTAAAAGATCTTTAAGAACTTTAGAGCCCTTGTGTTCCCAGGGCAGGGACATATGAGCACACAGACCTGCTTTTGACCTTGGCTCTGCCCCTTACTAAAGGTTTATGTTTGGAGAAGCTAATTAACTTCTCTGAATCTTAGTCTCCTCATCTGCTAAATGGGGATCATGATAATGCCTACCTCAGGTGGTTGTGTAGATTAAATTATGTTTGTAAAACACCTCTTACATAGTAGACAATCAATAGATGGCAGCTATCATTTCTACAAAAACCAAGCACAAAAAGTAATTATGTATAAGAGATATTTCAAGAATTCAGCTATCTAGACTGCTATCCAGACTACCTTAAAAAATACCATATACGCCACTATTAATGATTACTCACAAAACTACACTTTTATTATTACTATGAAAAAATACATTGAAACTATTTTCTTGACTTGTGGAGATTTTTTTATGTACTAGTTTAAATAGTTTATTCCGCTCCACTGTATCTGACTAATCAGATGAAATTTTTCAGCTGCCATTCTCATCTTTCAACCTCGTCTAGACAAAGCTTTAGTGAGAACTGGAGATGGAGAGTCTTTTGTGAGACTTGCTTACAGACTAGATTACAATGGCAGTGAAACACTACTTCTTACCAGGTAACTGTGGGTAGATATTTTCAGTCATGTATTCTCTCAAGTTCCTTGGCATGTCTCCTCGGATGTCCACAAGTACTCGAGTTTCGTTAGGTGAAATTTGGTAGATGAGAACTGGACTTGGGTTAGCTAAAATAAGTTCGGCATGATTTGCTTTAAACTGCGGTGCATTCTAGGAAAATAAATAAAATATTTTTAATAACTTGCAAATTTCAAGTTGCTTTTATCTTCTACAATTGCATTTCTACAATACCTCCATAAGGAAGCCAACAAAATGTGAAGAAATGGAAACTTTATTCGAGATCAGGTTTTTCCTGAACTTGGAGAAAAGTCCATCTGCAACAATAGTCAATGGAGCATGGAGTTCCTACAACAAAAACAAAGAACACTCAGCTAAATGGTGAGAAATACACAGTGAAAAGACTGTTCTTTTAAAGTGTACATAAACAAATTTAAACACATTATGGGACATTATAGAGTACCCAAAGATAATGCTATTGAAGGAGCTCTCATGTGGGCAGAGGTTAATGAATGACCCATCTTTAGAGACTCTTCCCCTTGAGATCACCTTCCACCAAAGTCCTACCATTCCAAACCACCTGGGATTAAGTCACTTCGATGTACACTGGGAAAACTATGAGAAGCAAGCAGAGCTCATAGGAAACTGAACCACATTACAAATCCCAAGGACTAGCCACATTCTTTTATTCTAGAATTTTTTAACCCCACATAGTGCTTTCAATCAATGGCTATGGTTCCAAAGACTTTTTGTACACATGGATGTATATACTTATATTACCTTGCAATTGCCCCCATTAGAGTGTAATTCCTAGGAGGTAATTACCCTATGAAAGAATCAACAGATAAGCTTTTGACTTTCTCCTCTGTTCTAAACCAACACAAGCAAATACTGGAAACTATTTTATTCAGCTATTTCCCCAGAGTGTCTCTTAGTTTTTGCCTTTCTTATTTCAACAATAGTTTATTTTATTCTCATTATTTCTTTCACGCTGAATCCTTCCTTTTTGCATCTTCCAGTTCCCTCTCCGCTAGGGTACACTTCTCACTTCAGTTTTTAACACAGCTAACACCATGGAGTTTGTTTCCAGAGTTATTTGAACAGCATTCTGCAGTGCCCCAAAGAACAATGTGTTGCAATCTAGCGCAGAGTTTGGAGAGATCTCAGTCCATTTGATGAATAATAAACTTGTGGGCCTACTTCTCTTAAAGGAGTAGGAGAAAAAGAAAATAAAAATCTCTCAGGAAAAGCAAATATCTGCTACATCTCACCTTGATGTCTCCAGTCTCTTTATCCTTGTACTGAACTCCCATCACAGCATCATCTTCTTCTAGTAACTGCAGCACAGTGCCCTCGATAAACTTTGCACTAAAAGATAAATAAACAAATTCTCTGGTAGCACAACTGAAAAATTTAAACACGGAATGAAAAATTCCTTTTTTCTATCTCCAGTGTAACCTAAACTGGACACACATGTACATAGAAAAAGGGCTGGAATGACGAAAAGCAAAAACATCAATGGGTTTTAGAATTAGGTGGGGTTATAACTTTCTAATTTTTTAAGATGGAATGTATGTAACTAATGTAATGACTTTTCAGAAAAGCATTTTTAAAAAGTAACAGGTTTTATCTCAATTCATTAAAAAATAAAATACATGCAGAAAAATTTTACATACAAACAAAAGTTTTGTTGTGTTGATGAATATACACAGAATTGGAATTTATTCAAATTTTTCTGAGTAGTTACTCCTAGTTAGAAGGATCGTAGATAATTTTTACAATCTCCTCTATATTTTTAAGTATTTCTCTATTTTTCTAAAATGAATATATTCTACTTTCATAGATATCAAATTCTTCAAGTTCTAAGACTAATCAATTCATTTCTCCTTTTGCTTTGTCAACATTTAAGCCAACATTAAGGATTTAAGCCTTTAGCAGGGCTTCCTCAATAGCTCAGTTGTTAAAGAATCTGCCTGCAATGCAGGAGACCCCAGTTCAATTCCTGGGTCAGGAAGATCCCCTGGAGAAGGGATAGGCTACCCACTCCAGTATTCTTGGGCTTCCCTTCTGGATCAGCTGGTAAAGAATCCACCTGCAATCCAGGAGACCTGGGTTCGATCCCTGGGTTGGGAAGAGCCCCTGGAGAAGGGAAAGGCTACCCACTTCAGTATTCTGGCCTGGAGAATTCCATGGACTATACAGTCCATGAGGTCACAAAAAGTCGGACACGACTGAGCAACTTGTACTTTCACTTTCAAGCCTTTGTCAATGACATGAGGATTCTCATGTTTAAAACTTAAATCACAATTATAGTGTACAGGGCTAGAAGTAAATATAAGTTAATAATTAAAAGAAGAAGCCCTTTAAAACTGTCAATCACTATACTGTACATCTGTAATTTACATACTATTGTATATCAATTATAACTCAAAAAAAGAGAGGGAGGGACACCCAGCCAGTCCTGTCAGTCCAGGTCCTTAGTATGAATGCAACAGGGATTTTCTCTTTTAACTCCTCTGTCCCGACTTTTAATAAAAAGCACCATAACCACAAACTCCAACTCCCAAATGGGTACATATGAACTTAAACCTTAATTACAATGACTACATCCTCTCAATTCGAACCACGTAAAAATCACACATTGAGTCATAGGAAAGTTCTCAATAGTTCTCATCATTCGAATGATTTATATGATATTCTTAACAAAGGCTGAAGAATTGACATTCTTCTAACTTACGGTTTATTCTAGTGCAACAGCTATGCTCTAACCTATACCCAAACACTTATGAAAATGAATAAAACAGTATTTAACAGTATAACAGTTTAACATCAGGTATTGGAAGCTGAGCCTTACTTGGGCTCTGCCATAGCTGCCTTCCGGAGACGCATGATGAATCTTCCATGATGGAAAGCTCTTCCACTCCGCACATGATTGTTCTCTGACAGGGGGAAAGGAATCTGAACCTCTGTTTTGCTTTCCTGATCATGAATTATGTAGCCATTTACAACCTGGGCATCAATACCTTCCACTGTATCTGCAAAACAACACAGTTTTAAAAAAAAGTCAGTTTTTTGTAATATGCCCAGAGCTACACTAATCACCAAAAGGACACGGATGTGGAAAATGAGTTTCTGTGTTCATAAAGCTACACCATTTGGAGGACTGGACATTAACAGAACTATTTCAGAAAGCTTAATGCTTCTGGAAGACAATAGTCTTAGCAAATTTGTGATATCATAAAAGGTAAATATTTACATATAAAATTTATTCATTAAAATTCATAGGAAAAATATTCAGACTCTAATGATAACAGGGAAAATGTACACAGATGATTCATACTACAAAGAAACATTGAATATGTCAGGAAAACAATGTTCAAAACTTGATTTAAAAAAAAAAATCAATGAAATAAAACTGAAACAAGAAGACACCAAATCTATCAAAGTTGCTGGTGAAATAATGATAAAATGGATAAATTGTATATATTACTGGTCATATCATAAACTAATAACATTTCAGAAAATAAGCACGGCAACAACTATCAAGAACCAAGAAGAAGTTAGCACCCTTTAATGTAATATTAGTCTTGTAATCCATCTAGGGTACATTATAAAGTATTAACTGAGAAAATACTATGAACAGGCTTAAAGTCATGACAAAGAATGGATAATAGTATTAGAAATGTTGCTGTGAGCAAGTCGACTTTAGCATGTATTTTAAAAGTCACATGCTATAAATATATTCAAATACATTAAAATACAATATTGAGGACTAAGTCTATTAAAATGATTTCATTTCTGATGAAAAGGAAAACTGTATAATAAAACAATTTTACCACACATCTATGCTAAGATCAAAATAAATCATTTTTTTTCTGATATGCTTTATTAGTTACACTTTAAAGTCTAGTCAGGGACAAGCTGGATGAATACTTGTCAAACATCCCACCTAGGATCCAAGTAAGTTAGTTTTTTGGTTTGGCTTCTAAATTATTCCAGCTAATATTCAGTCAGAGAAAAGTACACAGGTATCACAGAAGCTGCCAATTAGCAGTGTATTCAATTTGGATCTCGGCAAACTGCCAATCTTTACCGGCCTACCTGTTTGAAACCCATCTAGTATTTCCACTTTTGTTTTGTCCAGCTACTGAAATAAGCTTATTTTTCTTAACTCATATTATGGAAGAACTTCTAAGTGCTAAATCTGGCCAATTTAGAACACACCAGAACATGTGAAAAGTAGACAGTAGTGGCACAGTAAAATTTTCCTTGGGTAAGTTATCTTAAGTATATAAATAAGGTCTAATTTAAGATTTGAAACATCTGCCTCTCACAATTTGACTGGTGAAATCAAATATGATAGACTTTGGCACTTTCACTTTCTTAACCAGGCAGGCAGGAAAATGCCATCCTCATCAAATTCACGCCTGACGATCAATGATAAAGCTGACAAAATCCGCCTCAGGGTACTGTCCCACCTGTCTCTGGTGACCCTCTCATGGAGGGTGGTGGTTAGAGAACATAAAAGGACAGAGGCAGGGGCCTCCCTTCTTTACAATCCACCCTATCCGCTGGGGCCCGGGGCCCTGCCGTCTCTTGCTTTTCCTCTCTATCTGCCCCTTCTCACTCTCAGTCCTCTTACTCGGCTCCTGGTCTCACTGACCTCTCTCCCTTAGAGTACCCCAGGAGTCGTCCTGGGCCTCTTCTTGGCAACGCCATCTAGCCTTCTTTAAATACCACGACTCCTCTCTTTCTCACACCCCTCACATCTCATCCAGCAGCAGCAGGTCCTACTGACTCTTCCTTCCAAATATATCCCAGAATGTGACCACGTCCCCGACTACGGCCATGACCCTGGTCCAAGCCATCAGCTCTCACTGTTTCCACAATAACTTCCTAACAGGTCTCCCTGCTGCTGACTTGCCACTTCATGATCTAGTCTTTCTTCTACACACTAACAAGAATACATTAAAACAAGATTTCTAATCATACTTCTAAGACGTGAAATCTAGTAACTTCCTCTTCTTGAAATTCTCCAATGGCTTCCCTTTGGAATAAAAGTCTAATCCACATAGTGGGCCAGCAGGGAGTCCAGTCTCCATTCTCCTTAACTCCAACTCAAACCACTCAATTCAACACAATTCTCCTTTCCTGCTCTTCAAAGAAGCCACAGGCTCACTCCTCCCCATCAGGCTTCACCCCGTGATGCTCTCTCTACCTGGAAAGAGCTTCTCTTCCTCCAGACAGCCCTAGGGCTCTCCTATCCCTTCCCTTCAGTCCTTTCCTCGAACATCACCGTCTCAGTAAGGCTTTCCCTTCCCCCGCCCGCTGCATCATTTAGAAGTACACTCCCTATCTCTCATTTCTGACTCTTCTCTGAAGCACTTATAACCATAATATATACTCTAAATTTTATTTATTCATCTTTTATCACCATCTTCTATAGGAGCACCTAGAATGTATGCTCTGTGAGGGCTGGAATCTGTTTTGTTCACTACTGTAGCCTCAGCACCCAGAACAGTACTTACAATATAGCTGATACTTAATAAATACATTAAATGAAAGAATGAATGTTACCCATTTATAGTCACCTCCCTCCCAACCTGATCTTCTCTGTTACCCCACAAACCTGTTCTATCTAGTATCAAAACACCCCTCCTGTATCCTCACATCTACATGTCACCTCTGCCCTGTTTCTGTTTTCTGTTAGAGAAAAACTCCTTGAGAGTAGTTTTCTAGCCTCAAATTTTTTCATCTCCCATTCACTTCAGTCCAGGTTTCGTCTACACAACTCCACCAAAACATCTTGTCAGTCCCACGGCAACCTCCAAATGGCCAAATCCCATCGCACTTCCTACGCACTGTTCTGACCTGACCCTTCATTAGCAAACCATGACATGGCTCCTTTCCTTCCTTGATATGTACCCATCCCCTCCTGCGAGAAACACTTTCCTCTGTTGGATTAAGGACACCAAACTCTCCCGGCTCTTTCCTGTCATTCTGCAGGCTCCTTCTCTGTCCTCCAGCAAGCTTTCTTCTTCCACCCAATTTCTACATATCAGTTTCCCAGGACTTGGTTTATTCCGTCTTCTCTTTTTTTCCTGCACACTCTCCTTAGCTGGTCTCCATCACTGCTGTGGCTTTTAAGTACTACAAACATGCTGACATCTCTGAAATACCCACACCAGCCAGCTCAAAGCACTCGTTCCTCTGCACTTGAGACTCATATTCTCAACTAAACAGTCTGCGTGTCTATCTCCATGGGTCCCCAACTTCCTTCAGTGCTGGTCCCTCTCTAGGTTTTCTTACACTGCGTCTTCCAGCTGGTCAAATCAAAACGCTAAGAATCACTTTTAATACCCTGTCTTCTCTACCTCACACCAATCCTTTACTAAGTCAAGCCATTCCTGTCTTTCATTTGGTCACGAACCTGTCCACTTCTCTCTACATTCTCTGCTGATGTGCTAGTCCAAACCACCATCATATGCCATTTGGACTTGGCGATGAGCTCCCACTAGACTTCTTGCACTGACTCTTGCCACCCCACCACCACAGTCTTGTAGTCTATTCACCACACAACATCCACATATTCTTTCAAAATAGCATCCTAGAAAAGTACACACTCTCCTTAGCTGGTCTCCATTACTGCTGTGGCTTTTAAGTACTTTTAAGTGCAGGATGTGATTCAATGGTAAACTGTGAAATGAAATTTCAAGCTGCGAATTGTAGACTTGGGTAAAATCATGCGAGTATTTAAAAAGCAAAATAAATCTGTTAGATTTAGGAATGTATGTAGGTACTGAGCGGCTTCTCAGGTGGCTCAGTGGGTAAAGAATCCGCCTGTGATGCAGGAGACGTGGGTTCAATCCCTGGGTCAGGAATATCCCTTGGAACAGGAAATGGCAACCCACTCTAGTATTCTTCCCTGGAGAATCCCATAAACAGAGAAGTCTGGCGGGCTACAGTCCATAGAGTCGCAAAGAGTTGGACATGTCTGAGCATGCACACATGCAGGTACTGAGTCAGGATATAAGAAGTGTTCGTCATTGTGAAGAGCTCTCAAAGGTCTGAAGCCTTTGGAGGCATAAACAGGATCCTGTCATACTCCTGTTCCACTGCCTTCAAAGTCCTGCAGGACTAGCAGCTGCCTAATTCTCCAATCTCAATCTCAAGTCCTGCTCCTTTCCCCACTACCCAATACTTTCTGACTACACTGGTCTCCTCTTCAGTACACTGAATAAAATAGCAAACATTTACATAGTGCTTAATACATACCAGGAATTGTTCTGACTGCTTTATCTTTATGCTTTATTCAATTAATTCTCTTAATAACCTATGAGTCAAGGACTCTAAATGTGCCTTTTTTACAGATGAGTAAACTAATAGAGATTTCCCTGGTGGCTCAGAGGTAAAGAATCTACCTGCCAAAGCAGGAGACACATGCTCAGTCCCTGGGTCAGGAAGATCCCCTAGAGGAGGAAATGGCAACTCACTCTAGTATTCTCGCCTGGAAAATCCCATGGACAGTGGAGCCTGGCGGGCTACAGTCCATGGAGTCACAAATAGTCAGATTTAAAGACTAAACAACAGCAACAAACTTAACACACAGGTGGTTAAGTAACTTAGCCAAGATCACACAGCTTTTTAAGCACCTAAGCTGTATTCAAAGTCAGGCAATCTAGTGCCAGCATCAATGCTGGTAATTACTACAACATCATGCCCACCCTAAATAACAAGCAAGCTCTCTCTCAATTCCCGGACCTATTTTGCACTCTGAACCCCAAGACTGGATCGCTGATCTGTCTTATTCGCCAGTTTATCCTTGGCACCCAGTATAGCACCTCATACAAAGCAAACAGCAAAACTACTTCCTAAATGAAGAGTATTTAAAAAGCACTGGATTAATGGATGAATGATCCTTAAATAAAAGGTTCTAAAACAGGTACATCACATGCACTCTACAAATGACAGTTCACTTCACCTTTCACTAAATTTCATTCCTCATTCCAAGTTGAAGTTTTCCAGTCTTCAACTTTGACCATTACAATTTTTTAGCCACTTTTATCTCACAAAGGCTACTTCATGTTTCCTCAGGCTTATTTTCTCCTTTGCTTTCGTTTTCATGAAAATTTGTTGATAAATGTGTAACCTTTACACATGAAGATAAAATGGAATACCCTTTTACCAGTCATAGCAAAGACTGCTTGCTTATACCACATTAACTCCTAAAAATCACTAGGAACCTACCTTCAAGACCAAGGTCTTTCAAGGCATAATAACCACCTGGCTGCAGAAATTCTCCAAGGATCCGGTCAGGCTCTTTTAAATCTCTCTCAATTACCGTCACCTTTCTTCCATCTCTAGAAAGCACTGCGGCCAAAGCAGAGCCGAGGACACCAGATCCCACGATGATAACTTCTGGATCGTTTTGAGAAGAGGTCAGGGTAGAGGCAGCTGTTCCTATTAAGGTTGTTTCTGAAATACTGGTCCCTTTTTTGCACTGCTTAAAAAAAAAAAAAGAATTATGTAGCCACATTTGTTGTCTTTAAATCATATTAATACTATACAGGCACAGTGAACGCTTGCATCTTAGGTAAAAACTATACCCTAAATACTATCAAACCAAATGAACAGTTATGTTTTTAAATTCATATCATATATAAAAAACAATAATATCTAAATACTGGTTAAACAAAAATGGATAACAATACCCCAGTAAAATGAAACTTATGTTCCATCTTCCAAATATATTTAGAAAATGCTGTCACATATTTAGAAATACACAATAGGCCAATTATAAGATATGTTTACAAGGGACTTCTAAGTCTTACAGGGAAAATTCTATCCTAATTACTCAATTCTTCATATACATACTGAGCATCCACCAGATACAAATCATGTACAGCTTCTGATATGATTTCATGTTGCAAATTATTCAGCACCCTTCAGATATTTCCACTGTTGTCTTCATTTTCTCCCTCTCGATTTTCATCTGAAAAATCTATCTTAATCTAAAATCACTTTTTATACAACAAAAAGACTGTCAAATTCTGGCCAGGGATCTATTAATTGAGAATACGTACAATTCCAAGAGAATAACTCATTCTGTTCCTCGGAGTTCAACCTGTTCGAAGTTTTAGTCCTTGACATTTAAGAACATATTTACCTTCCTTTTCCTTCATCCTGATACTCTTAAGGGAACTTGGTCAAATATGTGACCCTCCAGTTTAAGAACAAACATTAAAACTATCACTGGTTGGGCTGACAGTAAAAACCATCCCTTTGATTATAAGATGAAAAACGGCTGTTTTGAGGGATTTATGCCCATTGAGCATAACAGTACCTATTACAGTTTTTTTTTTAATGAATAATTCAGTATCATAATAAGCATTTTTTGTTGGTATATGGAGTCACAAATAATGAATACATTCAGACACAGAGTTGCAAGGAACCATCTTCCTGGGGTCCTCTGACCTTAACAACTAAGACAAGGTTAAATGTCATTTTGAAAGGGTTTTAATAAAAGACCTCAAGCAAAAAAAGTGAAAGTTACTCAGTCACATCCAACTGAACTATCAGGGGAGCCCTCAGGCAAAAAGTTCTGTTCAGTTCAGTTGCTCAGTCGTGTCCGACTCTTTGTGACCCCATGGGCTGCAGCACGCCAGGCTTCCCTGTCCATCACCAACTCTTGGAGCTTACTCCAACTCACATCCATAGAGTCAGTGATGCCATCTAACCAACTCATCCTCCGTTGTCCAAAAGGAAGAACACATTTCCTTTCCTTTTCCCCCATCCTGATACTGTTACGGGAACTTGGTCAAACAAGTGGCCCTCCAGTTTAGGAATAAGAACAAACATTTTTGTCAGGCAAAAAGGAAGGAGATAAAACCTAAAATCCTTTAGAATTTTAAATCTCTGTGATCTAATATCATCTGGCCTCTACAATGACCTAGGCCCTGTCCACTGTTTTGGTTTTTTTAATCATTTCTCTTAGAGAAATTGCATTTTCACAACAGAACCTACTCTTTCTCTCAGTATTAACAGCCAGAACAACTGACCGGATTTAAAGCCTCTTCTGCCATTTTGGTGGCTCAGATGGTAAAGAATCTACCTGCAATGCAGAAGACCGAGGTTTGGTCCCTGGCAGGAAGGCCCCCTGGAGAAGGAAATGTCAACCCACTCCAGTATCACCTGGAGAATTCCCTGGACAGAAGAGCCTGGCGGGCTACAGTCCACGGAGTCACAAAGAATCAGACACACCTGAGCCACTTTCACTTGTCATTTTAGCCATTGTTTATTAGCCTTTCTTCCTACATGTTCCCTGTTACACACAAACACACACACACAATCCTGGAAGGAGAACTCTGGAGAAAGTTGCCTTTCAGAGCCTGGTTAGTACACGAAGCACTAAAGGGAACTTAATACAGTCTACCGACTCCCAGGTATTAAGGAAATAAACAGAGAGCCTGGGGTATTTGCAGAACGGAACCAATACTGACAGCTGTAATTCAACTTCCAACCACCGAATTTCTCTTCAGTTAGATGGCATTCAGCCTCCTGGACAAGTGCTCAGTGGCCCTGAGAGACATCATCTCAGGTAACAGTAGCAAAGACTTCAAACTGGGGATTAGATTCCCTTACCCTCCCATTCCTCCAACCCACATCCACCCCATCAATGAACTCAGCACCATTCCGAAGCATCCTAACAGATGGAGACTACCCCTAGACTAATACAAATAACTACTATTTACCAGATAGTTATGTACCAGGCATTTAGCAAACATTAAATCAATCAATTAGCTAACTACCAGCAAGGTTAGTGCCATTTCCACCTAACAGAAGAGGTAACTGATTCTTCCAGAAAGTAAGCAACTTGCCCAAAGTCTCACAGTCAGCAGTGGTAGAGCAAAACTTCTAAACCAAGCCCCCTCTCTTCTTAAACTGTGTTGATCTCTACTGCAGATACAGGGAAGAAGATATGGCTCTGGAACCCTGAAGGAGTGAATTACTGTGTAGGCCACACCTGCTAATGTCAAGTCACCATCATCCCTTACTTGGCCTACTGCAAGACTCTCTCAGCCCACATCCCTGCTTCCATTCTTGTCCTCCTACAATCCATTCTCCACACAGAAACTAGAATGTTCTTTTTAAAAAGTGAAAGTCAGGGACTTTCCTGGCATTCCAGGGGTTAAGACTTCGCCTTCCGATGCAGGGGATGTGGGTTTGATCCCTGGTCGGGGAGCTAAGATTCCACATGCCTTGTGGCCAAAAAAACCAGAACACAATATGGAAGCAATATTGTAACAAAATCAATAAAGACTTAAAAAAATAAAAAATAAAAAGTAAAAATCAAATATCATTACTCACATACTTTAATCCTCCAGTGCTCTTGGGGAAAAGTATAAACACCCAAGGCCAACAGGCCCTAAATATTCTGGCCTCAACAATCTTTTCCCCGCTCATCTCTCACCATTGTCCTCCTCTGCTGTCTCTGCAGGGACCAAACATTAATTATTCACCTAACCTAGGACACTGATTTACTCAAGGCTCCACTGATGTGGGGAGAGAAGGGTGTTTTGCCCAAGACTTCAAAACACTGAGCATTTTTACTCAGCCAGTTCTTCCAGCTGTTCTGTGACTTTCCCTAGGCAGCTGTCCCTTCTTATTAGCAACGAATTTACCTGAAGCAGCTTTCTTCTTTCTTCCCAGGTTCAAACACAATCCTCACCAAAGGATTTAAATAAAACTATTTTTCCATCACAGACAGTGATTCTGTCCTACTGACTTGAACATTTCACCTTTCCTTAATCAAACCAAGTTCATTTAGCTCTAGCACCACCAACACTAAATGAAACAAAGGTTTTCCATCATTTCTAAGAGCGCCAAGGATGTAGTCAAGAGCAGTCAGGCGCTTAAACAAAAAACCAAAACCATCCATGTCAGAATTTGTACAGAATATCTAACTTGCAGCCTTTCACCCTTTAAATTACCGTATTTACATCTGGGTGATTGCAGTCCTAATTTTAAATATAAGACACTCATACACGTGCCCACTTTGAATTCAACCTACCCTCCTAGACCCCAGCTGCTCTTTATTTTCTGATCCAGCGGGGGATTTGGCCCAGAAGAAGCCAATGAAAGGCAAAGCTGACAGAATATAGGAGAAGCCCGCCAACTGGGAGCCACTCTGCCGGCGCCCGAGGAGGGCCCCGCTCCGGTAGCGATAAGACAGCACGAGCCCCAGCGACAGGAACACCAGCACGCATAGCAACAGCTCCTTGTTGGCCAGAGAGACAAAGTCTCCGCATTTCTTATAAAAATAGGTGAAAGTAGCGATGCCGAGAAAAGTCCACATGGTTAAAAGGCTTCTTCGGGGACTCCGGATCAACGTCAGGAGATTTTTTTTTTCCTGGTAGGGTTTTGGCGTTTAGATGCTCTCCCCAAAATGTGTTGCCAAAAAGGAGCGCGGGGGACCGGCCAAAGTCCAGGAAACACCGTCACGGGATTACAATTCAAATCAGAGAAATTTACAAAATCATATAAGTTAGTAAAAAGTACGTTTAGACCGGAACGTTCTCCAGGATTTAAAGAAAAGTATTTAAAAATCTCCAACAGCTCGAGATCAGACTCTCCCCTCTCAAGCAATCCATCTATGGGGGGTGGGGGAGTGCTGGGAGTCCTGGGAGATTAATTCCGGATAACGTATTAAATTTTGTTGTTGGCTTGTCGTGCAGTGAAATTGCTCTTCGCTCTCACTAGCAGCAGGTGTCCTTTCGGAAGAGCAACAGGGAGACAAACATCAAAGAAATATCTTGCGCTGGGGAACTGCGGCCTCACCGGGTCGGAAAGCTCGAGAGCTGAGACGGCGCGGAGAGAGAGCTCCTTCTCTTGCCCGGGGCCTCCACTCTCAAAGGGAGACGTCGGACAGGGCAGCCTTCTCCCACCAAAGATGGCCTCGGACTCGAGACTGCGGCTCCAGGACTGGGAAGCGTAGCCCCCACCTCCAAACTTCCTCCTCCTCGCGGCTCCCAAGGCACCAGTCCCCGAATCTTCACCCAGCTGAACGACACTTTCCAGGGCGCTCCCCGCCTCAGAGAGCAGCTGCGGCGGCGGCTCCCGAGCGACTCATCACCAGCATCCCTCGCGGGCGGCGGCAGACCTCCCAGTGCAGCGCTTCGGCAGTAACCAGAGTAACCGCCTGGCGCCTAGATAGCCGCCCGGCCGCACGAGTGTCGCCGGCGTTTGGGCTGGACCCCTGCAAGGGACCAGAGGGCGGGGCTCCGCCCACCGTCACCGCCCCCTGCCGCCGCCCACCAATGAGGGGGAGCGCCGCGCTGTAGGCCGAGATGGCGCTATGCCGTGTTTGGCCAATCGCAGGCGGCGCGGCTCGCGCGCTGACGCCCAGAGAGGCGCTAGGACGAGGTTGCGTGGTGTCGGGTGGGGGCGTGGGGATGGGGTCGGCCGCTGGATGGGCGGATGGGAAGGCACGGGCTGTCTCTGGAGGGAGTGGGGCTGGTGGGCGTCATGCCCTGAGTGTCACGGGCCCAGCCGCTGGGATCCTACCCAAAAACAGGTGGAGCTGGTTCCGAGGAAACCTCGCCGGGCTTCCGCCGCCTCGGCAAGTCTCCATTCATCTGGCCGCTCCGTGGACGGGTCGCTACATGCCGGGCCCAGGTGTCACAGAGAGGAATCAGACACAGCCTTTCTGGCATGTGCCTACCGTGTGGTAGGGGGCGGTAGAAAAAGTTACAGGTGCATCGAGAACGTGACTTTCACGGCTGAATCTGCAAGAAGGTGTGGGCAGGCGTCTGGCAGAGGAAGAAAGAGTATATGCCAAGTGTTCCCTCCCTTTACCCAAATTGTCAGGCAACTGTGCACTTTGTCACTGTACCCAGGTTGAAGATACACTTATGCACGCTGCCTTTTTATAGTCAAGATCAGAAACAGGGTGAAGGGTGCGGGGCAAAGTGAAATAAATAGAGATGTGTCATAAGTGCCCTGAAAAAGTGGGTGGGTGGGGAGGGAACCATGGAAACGGCAGGCAGTCCTTCACTCTGCCTGGAGTGAATCAAGCAAGGCCTTCTGGCAAGTTACATGAATTTTGTCCTTGACAGGCATTCTAGAAGGAAAAATAGAAGTCTGCAAGATTCACAGGTGAGAGATGGATCTTGTTACCCACCCCCCCAAAAAAAAACCCTTAAACTTCCTAGAATTTATTGAGGGCTAAGACCAGTGCCTTTGTTCACCTTACTGTAACCCTGGACTGCCTATTTTAAGCCCTAAGACTTATGTACAAATCCTTTCTGCCTTTTGGAGCAGAATTGAATTGTCACCTCTTCTACCAAGGGACTACTGATCCTTACCAGGTCACATAATAGTTTATTCATACTTATCGTCCCAGCTTCTGACTATACATTTATGGCTATTACCCCACTAGTTTCTCTGTTCTTTGAGAGGAGGATCTGCATCTGATAAATCAGAATCACCCACAGCAACTAGCACAATGTTTTTGCATTTATCTTCCATAAAGCTCTATTGAATGAATGATGAATGACAGTGGTGTAGTAGGAAAGACTAGGTGATTAGCAATCAAGACCGAGACTCTGGCTGCCACTAACCAGGCTCGGGACCTTGAACAAGTCAAAAGTCAGTCAAATCTCTGAAGGGCTAGGGCAATGTCTTCATGAAATTTAAAGTTCCTGGCCATTTGCTGAGTTTAGACAAGTACAGTACTTGTCATCATTTTTCAACCCAAATGTGTTTAATCTGTTAATGAAATAATTATGTGTCAAAACACTTTCACAGGCATCATTTGACACTCAAAACTACCTGGATTATAAAAATAACAAATATAAAACTTAAAGAGGTTAAGTGACTTGGCCAAATCACAGTTTATAAATGATGAAAAAAAAAGCTAAACTCCTGGTCTCCAAATCTTGTTTCCCCAATACTCTGAATAATCAGAGTAAATATACAAGGTAAATATACTTTACCTTTCTCCCATTATAAAACCAAGACTTTCCTTGACATTCCTCCCTGCTATCAACAAATTCAGCTGCTTGAAAGACACATCGAATTAGAAAGAACTCAAGAAAATCAGTTTAACATGTGGGAAATTGCTTTCCTGAAGATAATTCTTCACTTAACTGCTTATTGGTAACTGTGGGTTCCTATATTGCTAAAATGACAGAAGGCTTGGTTAGCTGACTCTTATAGAAGCAAATAGTTATCACCAGAATTATTGCTACTTGATTAGAAATTATCATGAGGATTTTTCTCTTATTAAGTAGGTAAAATTTTTATGTAGGTAATTTTTAAATTAATCTTTTGAAAGTCACCTTATCCATATGTGTACAGTCCAAAATCCACTTCCAACCTGAAGGCAAAAAGAGCATTTGTGATCCTCGCATAGGGCACGTTCTGAATACCTGTGCTTTCCAAACTTGAATGTTACACAACCATCACTTAGGTATGTTTGAATCTTGGCCTGGCTGCTGCTGTTTGTTTGGTCACCAAGTCGTGTCCAACTCTTTTGCAATCCCATGGACTGCAGCCCGACAGGCTCTTGCCTATTTCCCAGGCAAGATACTGGAGTGGGTTGCCATATCCTTCTCTAAATCTTCCTGACCCAGGGATCAAAGCCACATCTACATTCACCCTCAGGTTCTCTACCACTGAGCTGCCAGGGAAGTCCTTGGCCTGGCTGCACTTATTCAGAAACAAAAATTTGTCACTCAAGCCTGAGGCGAAGGCAATGAAATATGACTAAATCACCCCCTGACTGGCAGAAAGTAATAATACTTTCGTAATCACAAGAAAAGACACTTTCATGGGCAGCATTCTACAATTTTTTTTTCATATAGTAGCTAATTTTGTCCTCATAACCACACTGTCAGGCAGGTGTTATTTTTAACCCTATTTTACAAACAAGCAAACTGAGGTACAAAAAAGTGGTCACACAGCTAATAGGAAGCAGAGCCTGAAATCAAGGCCAGGAAATCTGACTCAAGAATCTAGAGATGTTTAACCAAAATGCAATTTTTTTCTCCTTTATTTTAAGGTAAAGATCTAGTTAACCTTTAAAACAAACAAAAAGCACACTTGGTCTTTTCATTTCATTGCTTAATCACCTCTGGAATCTCTGTTGGCACCATCTGGCCTGACAGGCTTATTACACATTTGCCTTTTCAAAAGCTATTCCTATTGCAGGAAAAAGCCTTTTCCTCCTCTCTTCAATTATCCACTGTTTAAGACCCAAATTAATTAACATCTCTTTCTCTTCAAGTTTTCATAATTACCTCTTTGTCACAACAGTCACTAATTTGTATTGCAATTATTGACTTACACCTTTTCAAGAGATTTAGCTCTTAAGGCAAGGACCATGTCTTATTCACAGTTGTATTCTCTGCACATGGTATATAATACACATTTTTCAATGTATTGAATACAACCTTTCCTACTTCAGCTTTTTTTTGTACCAAACTGAACAACTCCCTTTTCACTAATGTTTTGGTTTGTAACACATTAGAAACACATAAGATCAAAACTTTCTTGCTTACCATGCACCTTGTCCAAAAAGACTTTGGCCACTCAACTGTTCTACATTCCCTCAGCACTTAGGTAATCTTTTGCAAATTCTAGTTGCAAATGATGGAGCCAATTATATTAATTTGGGATTTTGTCTTCATCTTCTTCCTCTCCTTGAATACAGCTCATACAGCCATAATTAGAGTACAGCTCAAGCCAATTCCATGTAGTAAATATGTATCAAGTGGCTAACTTGTGTCAGGCACTATGCTTGGTGTGAGTAAAGTGGTGAGCACAGCATAGGATTTAATGGCAATGACAGCAGCAAACAGGTACTAAAAGATGTCAGGCGTGTGTGCATCAGTCATGTCTGACTCTTTTGCAACCCCATGGACTGTAGCCCACCAGGCTCCTCTATCCATGGGATTACTGCGGCAGGAACACTGGAATGGATTGCCATTTCCTCCTCAAGGGGATCTCCCTGACTCAAGCGGAAGATGATGCCTCTCCTGCATCTCCTGCCTTGCTGGCAGATTTGTTAATGCTGAGCCTCTCAGGGTGGCTTAAAGATGTCCTGTGTGTCCAAAGAAAGAGAAGTACATGTTGCTCTGGAGGGTAAGGAGATATAAACTAACCTAGGGGTCAAGGAAGTTCTGACAGAAGAAGTTACTTTTAAGCTGAAGTTTGAAAGTTAGAATGGGATTTCCCTGGTGATCCAGTGGTTAAAAATCCACCACACAGTGCGGGGGACCTGGGTTTGATTTCTGGTCCAGAGACTAAGATCCCACATGCTATGGGGCAACTCAGCCCAGGCGACACAAGGAAAGATCGTCCATGACGCTATGAAAATCCCTCATGCCACAACTTATACTTAACACAGCCAAATAAACATAAGAAAGGAAGAAAGAATGGTTAGCAGAAATAACCAGGTATGACCTCTAACTGTAAGTGGCAATAACCACACATTTCTTTTCTCCTTTTCTCACTCTTTTTTTTTTTTTTCCTTCTCTTAGTAAAACACTAGTGCCTGCAGCGGACAATACAAGTGTTTCACTGATTGGTTGATGACAGGAGGATGGTAAAGATGAGGAGTCTATTCTTCTGAACAGTCTGACTGGATATCTTCATAAGCCTCCATTCTGCTTTTTCCTCAATATCAATTTTAGAAACAAAGGGATCCTCATCAATGTGCCGAAACTGAATTGACCTTAGCATAACTGGATCTGGAATGCACTTCATTTTCTGAATCAGGGGAAAACAGGGAACTAACCGAGCCAGCCCTTTCCTCAACCATTCTTCCTCTTAGGACTTACTTCCAGGCTTTGGGCCCTTCTTTAGTTCTTAGAACAGCTTCTAGTAACAAGTACTGGAATTGTGCCTAGGGCTGCACAAAGGAAAATTCAGACTGTTCTTTTTTTAATTATTGAATTATAATTCACATATTAGTTTCAGGTGTACAACCTACAATGGAATAATCACCATAAGCCTAGTTACCATTGGTCACCATACAAAGTTACTACAATGTTACTGACTATATTCCCTACCCTGCATATTCCTACTTCATGGTGGTGGTTTAGTCACTAAGTCGTGTCCAACTCTTGCGGCTCCATTGACTGTAGCCTGCCAGGCTCCTCTGTCCATGAGATTCTCCAGGCAAGAATACTGGAGTGGGCTGCCATTTCCTTCTCCAGAGAATCTTCGCAACCCAGGAGACGAACCCCGGTTT